TCTATATACAATTAGAAAATCAGTTAGAAGAGATCCTGCTGTTTATAACTGCAATGAAAAATCTAAGATATCTAGGAATAAATTTAACTTAAGTGTATGAATTTTGTTTTTGAGACAGGGTCTCACTATGTAGTTCAGGCTGGCTGTGAATTCATTCTACAGCCCAGTCTCACCTAGAACTCAGTGATCCTCCTGCCTCAGCCTCCTAAGTGCTGGGATTATAGCCACCATGCCTGGCTATTGACTAATTTTAAAGCATAGCTTGACTCGGACCCACAGGTCATCTGCCTGGAGGGAGAGGAATGATTTTTGGAAAGGATGAGAGAGAAATAAAAAAAAAAAAAAAACCAGGAAGGGAAAGAGAACGAGGGAGGGAGGGACAAATAGGCAGATGAATGAACGGGTGGAGTTGATTCTGGATCTTCTGATATATCTAAAATTTAGCTAGAACTATAGCCAGAATGAGAGACTTCTGTTTTGATAGAAAATTAGTTGCTGCCATGAGATGCTTTTGATGAAAATTGAGATGAATATGAGGAAATATGCTTGAATATTAAGGCCTATAGTTCTAGTTACCTTTGCATTGCTAGGACAGAAATACCAAATATAAAAGTTTAAAAAGTAACTCGTAAAAGTAGCGACTTCATAATCCTATTGCCTCTGGAATACCCACAGACATACTCAGAAATGTGCTTTACTAGTTTCCTAGCCATTTCTCTTTCTATTCAAGTTAACAATCATGAGACACTGCCCTGGGCTCTGGGCCTCCAACTAGACTTCTGGGAGGCACTGTCATGGCTGTAGGTCTTCAGCTGGATTTGTGCAGGACATTGCTGTGGTTGGTATCCAGGACCTCAGCTGGATTCTTTTGGTTTCTAGTGTGTGGAGAGATCTCCTGCCCTCTTTAGGATTTAATTTTGGGTAAATATGAGAAAATAATCTTGTAAATTATGTATCCTGAATTAAACTGCTTCCCTTATAAATTCTGACTACAAAAATAAATAAATAAATAAATTCTGACAATAGTCATTTATAAAAAAAACAACAAATTGACTTTATTTTGCATAATTAAATATTCAGTAGTAAAAAGGAATAGAGGACAGCTGTACATATTATAGATGAAAAAGCAAATGACAAATTATATCATTTTTATGAAGACAACCAAACCTGACACATAAATTCTTTAAAAATACCTACCTGTAATGACAAAGTTTTATGTGAGCATCCCAAAGTATAAATAAAGAATGAAATAAAAATAGAAAATGGGGAGGTATAGGGAGGAAATTAAGAAATGGGGAGATGGTAAGGGGATCAAAATCAATCATCAGATCTGTAAGCTGCAAAATGATGAAGGAAAAGAAAAAGAATGATCAGCCTATACACAGCTCCAGAAAAGTACAGTGTCACAGAACCAGAGGGAAGACACAGCGGAAGAGTCAGAGGCTGGCTGTAGTGTCAACCACTTTAAAGAGGGCTCGGGTAATTGCATTTTTTAAATATATATATAGAGAGAGAGAGAGAGAGAGAGAGAGAGAGAAATAAATATGAATGAGACAGTTTCACAGCTGATTAATAGGACAGTTTTGTTTTTTTTTTTTTTTAATAGGACAGTTTTGATAGTCAATACGCTGTACATTGTTATCTTCTTAGTGGTTATCCATAGTACAAGAAGCAGACAGGATATTCTGTCCAAACACTGTTAGTACACCTCTTTCTTCTCATTGAGCTA